ATCATATATATTTAAATAGACATCATAGCGTAGTGTATTTTGGAATAACCCAATCCAATCCATATACCAATTTTGTTGATGCCGTTTCTCTGCCCCCCCCCGTCAGCAGATCGGATACCTTTCCCGTTTTGCAAAGGGTATCAATAAAGTAAATAATAATAATAATAATAATAATCGGAAATAATTATTTTTAAATCTCAGTATAATGAAAACGATGTGTATGAGTATTTTATAATAAGAAAACTTTCCATATAACATCTCCAAGGAACAGAAACTCAAATATTTAGCATTCAGGAAATGCTATATATTAGGAGCAGCAGCGAATAAGTATTTCAGTAATGCTTTACGGTTATTTTTAAGTAGCTATGGAGAATTGCCCAAAACCAGAGTTGAATTTTTTAAATAAATGTTACAAAATCCTATTAAGAGGTAGCCGGGATTATCAATAAAGGTAGCCGGCATTATCAATAAAGGTAGCCGGGAGAAGGAATGAGATAATTAAGTTATCAAATGCTATACAAGAAACAGAGGAAATGTTTCTTCCTTGTTATATTTTTTAATTTGGATACTCCTAATGTACAGTTTTAGTCCGAATATTTGAAGCTAAAAGACTCTTATAAAAGATTAAATTTAACGACTCTTTCAAAGCAAAATTATATTAGTTCAAAATATTGAATATAACAATCTGCCTATCATTATAAAATTCAACTTTTCTACCTTATAACATACACATATGAACTTGCAGCCTTTCTGCATTTCCCCCCCCCAGAATAGCATCTTATGATTCTATTTTAATTTGAAAATATTGTTTATATTTACAAACCGATTACTCTTGATAATAAAATAGTTTTCTTTATGGTGGACGGTATAAAATATTATACAATTTGTATTTTTTCTTATGCTTAACATATCAGAGAGAAAATTAAATATGTATCAGAACTGATCAGGGTCTAACTACATACGCCCATCAGAACTACATACCCAAGAACTTCATATTTTTTGAAGGGGCTACTAAAATCGTTTTATAATTCTCATAATTGTATTTTTCATTTCTCTCATAAATAGAACTGGAAAAACAATGCGTGCGTCAAGAGCTCTAGGCATTCTTAATCGGATTCTGAAGCTAACCAAAACAAGCGCCCAGTGCGTCTCAATAGAACTTTGATTTCTGATGGAAACAAAGAAATATCAGAGCCAGGCTCTTGTTGAAATGCAGCACTGATGAAATGTGATGAAAATATCAGCTGAATAAAGCTAGTAACTGAGTTCTTAATCTTGTCAAAATCAGCTTGATGTCTTAGAAAGTTACAAATGATGGGGGAGAGAGAGAAAGAATTTATCTTTTGCTTTTTCAACGCTGACTAAATGTACCATGTAATGTGCTCTTTAAATCTCCCCACCGTATTGCCTTTCACTGAGAATACCATTTCAGACCAACAAAACAGCGGCTATTATAACCATCCCCGAGTTCTTGCGACGCACAACACGGGCTTTTATATGCACATCGTATCTCCACAATAACACTCTGCGAAAAAGGTCCACTTAAGCCCCTTTGTGCGCTGGATCCCAGATTCACGCTTGGTTGCCTAATTAAGGCAATAGGGAATACTATTCAACAGCAAAAGTTTCAATACACGGTGGGAACCATGAGTGGCTAAAAATTTGTTTTGTCATCCGCCACAGCAGCAAAATAAAATTCATGGTAAAAAAGGGAAAAATAAGAAAAAAGAGGTTACGGATGACGATATGCAGAGAAAGAAATCTGGGCAGGATTCCATTCAGGAAAGTATTCTCCAAAGTTATTATTCGAAGTCACACAGGAAAGCTATTGAAAAGGTAGCGCAGTACACAGCTGAAAAGCAAGAGTGGTTTGTTAGGCTGGGAGAGCTGATATTCTACCAGAATAGCAGATAGTTGCATGTTATTCAAAACATAATGATTTGCAACAACCTGGAGATGGTCATAAGCAATGCATGGCATCCGGACGATTATCACGTGCGTAAATCACTTTAGATTCCTCTCACTGCCCATTGTATCTTGTTACTAATGTGCAACAGACTTATGAAACAGTTTCGGTTCAGAATTTATAACTTGGAAAATCTTACATGATTATATTTTTTCTGTTGTCTGTCATCCAAGAAATGAACGTGTGGTTGTAGTACATGGGATAATACTTTATTCTGACATCAGAACATGCAGACAATAGTCAAATTATAAGACCAACTCTCATCTCATCTAATTTAATAAACAAACTGGCTCTTAAAAAGAAAAGTTGCTTCATAGTTGTAATGCTTTCTAAAATACAACTGTCATAACATCCAGTTCCCTGCGATCTATTGTAGTTCATCAAAGAATTAAATATCTTTTGGAAATACCCTCATGCATCTTCATTTTCTTCTTATTAATAGCAAATTAAGAAAATTTTATGAGAAGTGCGTTTATTTTCTGTGGCTGGGAAAAGTTAGCATACGTATACATAAACCGTATGTACGCATAACGGTTTTTCAGTTTATTTTTTGCGGGTAGGAAAAGTTTGGAAATATGAAATCTAGATTTTTTTTATGATGCCCATAGACTAAAAGTTTCAACGATTAAAGCATACGCTGTGATTTCGTAAGTTGAGTACAAAAAAAATCTTTCATACATTTATTTCGTTTCAAATTATTCTCTAACTAATTTTGCGAAACTTTGTAAATAGGAATATATGTCTGATATCAATATTTAAGAAAATAGAACCTTTAACCTACTTTTCTTGAACAACTGTATGGACAATTTGAGTTCTAAATCAAAAGGAGGAAGAGTAGAATAAAAATGCATTTACAAATCCTACCTGTAAATATGAAACAAATTATTACGGATGAGTTAAATGAAGTAGAACAAAATTTTTTAGTTTTTTTTTTTTTTTTTTTTTTTTTTTTTTTTTTTTTTTTTTTATATATATATATATATTCTCTTGAGAGCTCTTGAGCATGAGAGCTATGCGGTAAATATATTATGATGACCTCACGTTTCTAAAACGCGAGAAATTTTATTTATTTATTTTTACAGACACATTTTACTATTTTTATGTAAATAAAAATTACTTTTTCCTAACATTTCGGTAATAGTATTTCTTTTAGAAAGCCAGTGTATCGAATGGTAAGTGTATTTCAGCAATGTATTCTTTCAATTTTTACAAGAAATGTGTGCCCACCAGCGGCCAAGCGGTAAAATCGCTGAACACTGGTAGTTCGGTCCGAGGTTCGAATCCCGCGAACGGGCTGGCTGCATGGGCGTTTTCGTGGTTTTCCCCATGTGTAACGTGTATACGAGCCAGTTTCCCTTAGAAAGTCCTCCACGAAGGCATCCCTTCCCTTAGGCAGATAGCCCTAGTGTGCTTTGCCGTATTCTCAATACACCAACTTTATCAAGAAAAGTTTCTGGGTGTTAGGAGCTGGACAATGGAACTGGAATACTTCGCTAATGTGGTATTCGAAATTTCAAATCAGTATATGCACTTCAGATTGGAAATTTGGAATTCTTCTTAGATTTAGTAACAACAACAGCATGAAAAGTTTAAATTTTCAACGGTATTAGAAATTATAGTATATGAAGATATGTAGACGATTATAGTATCGTCTACCATATCTGTAAATATGAAACAAATTATTACGGATGAGTTAAAGGAAGTAGGACAAACTTAATTTATTTAGTTTTTTTTATATTCTCTTGAGAGCTATGCAGTAAATAGTATATTATGATGACCTCATTATATTATGATGAATTATCAATGATATTATGATGATAAATTATTGGTATATCGGAGTTAAAAAGAGGACAGTTTTCTGGTTCTCATCGGCTGGTAGATCCTTTGTCAAAAAAGCAAGTCATTAACTTATGGAAGTTCGTAGTATCCAGACTTATGTCAGTATACCCAGAAAAGCAAAACTCTTCATCTAGTCGGAGTAACTGCCTAGGTAAAAGGAAGCTATCTGTAAAAGAGTATTAAAAGTAGATGTAGGCAAAAAATATAAAACAGTGGAAAATAACGTTCAAAAAAACAGTAAGCATACTCTGTGTCTTATAATGAATGACGTTTAAACATTAGGATTAGGAGAGCATCCCTCTTCATAAATGCGCCATGAGTGTAAGAAACGCAAGTAGTACACAATGTGAAACGTGTATTGTTCAGTAATGAGTCCACCCTCACCAACTTCCTCACGTCTGTTCACACTGGAGAGCTCTTTCGAAGGCACACGACTCGGACTGCCACGTATATAGGACGGCGGAGGAGCGATGTTTTGGGCAGTGGTAGCATGAAAATCTCTGGGAATGTTGATTGTTCTGACAGTTATATCACTGCTGTCAGAAGCTATCGATGGACAAGGTCTATCCAATTGTTCAGGTTTTCGAACGAATTCCCGACAGATGCATCCGCTATCGAAATGACAGTGCACCAGTTCATGCCCCAGAACTGATGACAGAGTAGTTTGAAAACATTAAAATGATCTTAAACATCTATCGTATTCTGTACAATTCCATGACTCCCGCATCTTGCCCTATTAAACGTGTTTGGGTTATACCAAAGAACAGAATTCGATAGCGTTTTCCTTTTTCACCACTGCGAAGTGAAACAGCAATTATTTTGCAAGTACAATGACCAGAAGTACCTTTAATGATTGTTCAACAGCTGTATTGGTCATTTCCAAGAAGAATTATTGCAATACTGGCATCTAAAAGATGTATTATTCCATATACATAAAGTAGTTGATCTATAGATGTAGGTGTTTCACATTATCCAACCACTGTATACTGCTTGGAGAAATTGCTGTCATTGAAGATTTTCTTTTAGTGAAATATTCAGTTTATTTTTCCTATTTTATTAATATTCAGTAGTATTTATGGAAAGTTTAAGGGGCTAAGAAAATGTTTTCTCGTTCTCACATTTGTAAGCTACATCTTTTATTTTCATTAATGCTTTGTAAAATCAGAATAAAACTTGTATTATATACCTTTTCTAGCTTGTGACTGTCATCCTGTTGGATCTTCCGGTTTAACCTGTAATCAAACTAATGGACAATGTCCTTGCAAAGATGGAGTGACAGGCACCACCTGTAATCGGTGTGCGAAAGGGTATTTTCAAAGCCGGTCAACAGTAGCACCTTGTATTAGTGAGTATATATATATATGTGTGTGTGTGTGTCATTTATAATATTTGCATTCGTTTATATATAATTTATTGGGAAGAAAATGATTATCACTGGCAGCGATAATTACAAGTATAGAAAATTACGAACCATGTCAAAACAAATCTTGCCTCGTGATAATTTACTGAACGTGATATAAAAGCAAAACACTCAAACCTTTAACAAGCTTTAGCGCTAACAGGGAAACAGGTCTGAAATGATGCTAAACTAGTTCAAATATATTTACAAACATAATTAATTGTCAAGTAAGATGTTTAAATTTGATTAAAATTCGACAGTTGTTGCGATGTTTATTTTTCAAATGTAGTTGCATTGTAATATAGTAAGAGTTTATGTAATATAGCAAAAATCATTATTTAACTTAAGTAATAATAAGTAATAAAAGTTAGATAAATTTTAGTGTCAATAAAAAACTAAATAGTTTCGACTAGATTATGTGATTACTTTCATAAGCAGCAAAAGCTGATCAGCGTATGCATAAAATTTTAAATGTTTTATACCGCTGCAATCTATGCCAAATTTTGAAGAATAGAGAAGAGAGGAAAAACAAAAATTCTGTAGCAATTAACTGCTTAAATGATAAAAACCATTATTAAAAGGATAATTATTAAATAAAATTTTTGAATCTTATCGGCCGATAAAAATAAGACTGTAACTGCTGGTGAGGAAAGACTACCTAATAATTCTGTAAATATCGTAAGCTTCCTCCCCCAAATATATACAGTACAAAGTCCAAAATCCGAACGTCCAGTATCCAGAATGATCTAAAATCGGGACCTTAAAGCCACGAACAAAATTTTTTCAGGAATTTTTTTAATGCTTTACGCATGCGCATTTGATTTTTTTCTCCGTAAAAAAACATGTGGAGAATCCCGATTCTAAATTTTACTTCATTACTAAATAAAATACCTCGTTATTAAAGAAAAAATCATTTTAGCATAAATTTTGTGTGACCAAGAATTTGGATTCGTAGCTGCGTATCTGCTTTTCCAGTTAATGGATTTTGTAAAGAAATATGGAGAAGAGGTAATAAGGAAAGATGATAAGAAGCTTTTCATTTCGATGGCAATGTTCCAATCATCAATCAATTAACCGACGGCGAAATCTGTAGTATAGTTCAAGATCCAGAAAATACCGTTACCAATAGTGAAGAAAGTGACGAGAGGTTATTAAAAACGAAAATATTTCGATTAATATTTACTTTAAAATATTCGTAATTATTTTTAACGAAAATATTTTGATTCGATTAGTCGGAATTCTCGATGCAGCAAATACAGGACTTGAACAGTGGGACTTTGTATAACTGAACAAGAAATTATGTCTGTCTACAGAATTGAAGAAAAAGTATGAGCACAAAAAATGAAGCAACTTAAACAATTTATATTCAAAGAAATGTTTAATAAAGTAAACAGAAAAAATATAGTGTTTTTTTTTTTTTTTTTTTTTTTTTTTTTGTGTGTGTGTAAATTTTGAGACTTTTAGATCATAGATGCTTCATTATTTCATAAATCAAGATTTCATATGTTTAATTTTAAAATTTCTGCATGCCATCTCACTAGATTTAAACTGATGATCTAATATCCGGAAACATCCCAAATCCGGAAGAGCCGAAGTCCCGACAAGTCCGGATCTCGGATTTTGTACTGTATATATATATATATAAAGAAACTTAATAAGAGGCTAAAAATTAAAAACAAAATTTTTATACCCATCCGGCACTTTAGCTGCAGGACTGAGTAAAAATAAACTTAAAACATCTAAAGTTAAAAATAAATTGGAGTCGAAGCAAGGCAATTCCTCAAAAATATTAGTAATTGTAAACGTGTATAAGATGTTTAACACAATATCTAAACAAATGAAAAATTAAAATAAGAATTCATAGTAGTACAAACTCGAAAAATAAAAGTACAAAACTGAAAAAACATACAAGAGAATAAAAATATAAAAATTAATTTCCTTTTACTGAAATTCCAATTCAGAACTCATTAGGGGAAAACAAATTGAAGCTTTATAAAAGTCGATTAATATGTTTTGAAAACGTGTTTCGTTCTTCTGGTTCATTTTGGCATCAAAAACCGAAAAAAGAATCAATTAAATTTTCATTTAAAACATTAAAATTCATAATAAAACATAACATCGTGCCAAACTGACTAAAAAAAAACCGTAAAACTTTACATTAATTATGTAAAATGAGCATTCAAAAAAACCAAATTGGTCTAAAATTATTGTATGCAAATAAAGAGCAAAAATATACTTTAAACCAAATTGGCATTTAAACAATACTAAAAAATTTGGTGGTCTCCAATTATGCTAAACTAAAATATTAATAAAAAAAAAAAAAAAAAAAAAAAAAAAAAAAAAAAAGAATTGTTTAAATAATAAAATAAAAACTGAGCCTTAATCACCTAAAAACTGAAAACCTATTAGAAACAAAAATTTTTAAAAACGCAAACTTACTGAAATCTTAGGACGACCTTCTAAACGAAAATTCACTGAATTCTTCAGATGATGAAATTGTGTTCCTTGTAGAATTCTGCACTGTGGAGAAGCAAAAAATTGTAGTTCTTCGAAAAAGTATGCGATAAAGTTCAAAGTGTCTAACAGCAGAACTAAGTATTTAAACATGTGTTCAAAATGTCCTATGCTGTTAAACTTTGTGTGCAGGGGTATCAAACGTTGGGTGCAGTCTGTAAAAATTATTAACTACGAAGAGAGTGATCGTCGACTCCAAAATGGCGGCGTAAGAACCTTCAAAATGGTAAATGACAATTTGGTTTGAAGTATATTTGTTTCGCTCTTTATTTGCATAGTTGCTTTTGAATTTCGGGTTTGCATATAATGGTTTTAGACCAATTTTTTTAATGGTCATTTCACATAATTTATAAAATTTTATGGTTTTTCTAGTAGTTAATTTGGCACAATGTTATGTCTTATTCTCGTTTTTAAGTGTTTTAAAGGCGTGTACGGAAAATTCTGGTACATTTGAGATTCAGTTTTTCGATTTTATATGAATTTTAATGTCTTAAATGAAAATTTAATTGGTTCTTTTTCGATTTTTGATCTCAAATGAACCAGGAGAACGAAACACGTTTTCGAAGCATATTAATCGACTTTTATGAAGCTTTAATTCATTCTCCCCTGATGAGTTCTGAATTGGAGTTTCATTAAAGGGAGATTAATTTTTATATTTTTATTAACTTGTATATTTTTATGTTTTGAGTTTACACTACTATGAATTCTTATTTTTAATTTTGGTTTGTTTAGATATTGGATAAACCTCTTATACACGGTTGCAATTGTTCATATTGTTGAGGAATTGCCTTGCTTTGGATTCCAATTTACGTTTAACTCTAGATGCTTTAAGTTTGTATATATCTGTATATATAATTCAAAATAGAAAGTAAAGTGTTTCGTAGCGTACCGATATAAGGGAAAACATAAACTGTAATAAAATAGATGAATAGCTTGTAATCCACGCTTTGGCCTTAAATCCATATCAGTGCTTAATTTCTAAAAGTAAAAAGGAATTAGAAGACGACAAGTAAGAAATAACATGAAAATAAAACGTGTAGAATCAATTGATGAATTACAAATTGAAATTTTTGAAACAATTTTTTTTATTTAATATTAAAGCAAAAATTAATAAAATAATAACGGAACACGCTGAAAGAAATAGAGGACAAAGTATTTAAATTTTTTTTTTTTTTTCCCCATTTCCTTTAATGTATTAATGATGTACATTTTTATATAAATATTTTCCGTAAAATTTTTGCATTTTATAAAAATCAGTTGAACATCAATTTAAATGCAGAAAATATAATTAAAAAATGTTTTTCAATATAATAATATGACTTTCAATTAAAAATCAAAACTTTTACATATTTACCGAGTACTATACGGAGAGCAGTAATGTAATTCCTGGAATACAGCTTTAAGAAAATTCACGTGGAACTGCATACTAATGAAAAAGGTTTACATCCCGCGGGCATCTATTAAATTAAATGACATTCCCATTCCCGTTTCTGGAACCTGAAAAAGGTTTACGTGAATGCTGCTGAGAATCTGGCTCGTATTCCGTTGAATATCAATTGCATTAGAAAATAGTCTTCCTTTCAGCGCATCTTTCAGTTTAAAAATAGCCAGAAATCGCAGGAAGTTAAATCGGGTGAATAGGTAGGATAATTTAATTGGGTAATCCCTATTAGGTCATCTTGTTTATCCACCCGATATTTTGATTCAAAAGGTATCTTTTAACCCTTTGCGGCACAGTGTGTCCGCTCTGGACACACCTAAAATTTTTCTTCTGTACGCACAGAAAAATTGAATGAAAAGCGATTTATAGGTTACTGTAGGTTACTCTGAACCTTCTTTATTTATAGTAGATGGCAGCTCAACACAAACCAGTCCATATATTTTAGCCATGTTTAGTTTTTTAAGACCCTCATTTTTCAAAGAAATCTTCCAGATTTTTTAGGGTATAAAAGAATTGTTTGAAAATAAATTTCTATGTTATTTTATTGGCTGTATGCTAATTTCCTTATTCTATATTAGTTTTAAATTTTTACCTTGAAATCTTGTCTAAAATCAAATGGCGAATCCTAGGTGTGCCCAGACCGGGCTCACCGATAATCTAGGACAATTGAGAGACTGTATTCTTTGTTTCTCCGCATCTCATCGGTCAGTCATTGACAAAATGCTGTTTCAGCACTCTTTCCGAGCTCAATCAATCAGTGTGCCAACTTTCGGCACACCCACAAAAATAAAACTATAAGTGCTATCTTCATAAAATTTTACTTGTGTACTCCTCTAGGCCAAATTAGACTGCCTACCTTTTTTTTTTTTTTTAACCAAAACTCCGACTTTAAAAAGTAGTGTGCCGGAAAGGGTTAAGAATTGCTCTTAATTGGAGAATGGATGGGAAACATAAGCTGTACACAAAATGACTGTGTGCAGCTTATGACTATGGATGAGAAACATAAGCTGCACACAAAAGTTGAAACGTCGAGGAACCTAGTGAACTATGTGGCGACTTATCGCTGAGTACAGAACACCTGAGACGTAGACTCGAGAAGGGTTAAATTACCCTTTTATTCACTCAAATACGAATAACAGTCGGTTCCTTCTCAGGCTTACAGGAAAGTTTCCACTCGGTCTTTAACTCAGAATAAGAAATAAGAGAACTAAACTAATAATTAACTAAACGAGACTTACCCGAAGCTAGACATAATTATCTAACGTAGTTGACCCTTAAATTAAACTGGCCGGCGAAAAAGGCACTTATAACTACGGCAACTTAGCCGTAGCCAGAAGCCAGAAGGCAAACAAGCGCCGCTAAGGACTCTATCGAAGTAAGCTGAACGTTCCTTAAATACTTCATCTAACTCATTTGCATTCAGCGCGATTCTAAAACTCATTCTGGCAGGGAGTTGTAAGTAGAAACAAGAATTTAAAGGAAAGGGTTTCAAAATAAAAATAACTGTTATAAAATTAAAATATACCTTACACCTTGATTAATTTATAACTATTCTGATGCGATTTTACCTTTAATTTTGACTACTCGAAATGTTACAATGGAATGTTCCGTTATTACGGAATGTTACATTTAACCTCTTTTTTTTTTTTTTTTTTTTTGTCTTTTTTTTTTCCAGAGGTTCATAAGACTGATAGAATTAAACCTGTCAGAAAACACGAAGGTAAATTTTCATGAAATTTTTATGTTGCACTTCCTAGCCGATTTCCCGTTTATACGTTACAAGCTAATGATTTATTTTATTTTATGTTTTTTAAGAGAAGTGTGGAAAGTGTACAGCGGGCAAAAAAAGATTAAGTCTCAGAAAGTACTGCAAAAGGGATTATGGTAAGTATAATCGGCTTGTATTTAGAAATATGTCTTTTTATTCGTGATACCTCTTAAGTATGATTTAATCTGCTGTGTGTAATAAGACTAAGAAAACGAATGTATTTCCGAATTTGAAGTTTTTAATATGCATATATTATTATTTTTATGTTTAACATACAGTGCCCTCTGCTTTTTAAGCTCACTGGTTAATTAGTACTTATTAAAATAATGACAAAAACCCTTGCATATAAAAACGGATCAGTGGCGGTCCCTGGACAAGCGAATGAGGATCCCTTATCTGCCATACCTGAAGCGCCACTTGTCAACCTCTTCTCGTCCTCAAGTGGCAACAACTGAAATAATCGGAATTCATAATAATGCTTTCGTTGGAAAGAACATCTCTACAAAAAACACATTCAGTTTTTGGACAATTTTCTTCTGATTGTGGCCAAAGGACAAAACCATATTTCAAATAGTCTGCGATATAGTGCCTTACAAACCTTTTTCTTTTTTTGTCAGACTGTGGACTATATTCACCGTCATCTGTATTCGAAGGGGTGGACGACGTACTTGGTTTTGGAGAATCCTTTCTTTGAACGAAATTTAATAATGTGTGTTTCGTTTCCTTCTTACTCATCCTGGTTATTGGTTTTTAATCTACCTAAAGAAATAGTAGTTATAGCACAGTATTAAATTCAGTGGTTATTAAAAACTTACGATGTATAGTTTGTATATACCTGATGTATAGTTTTCAGTTGTCCAAGCTTGCGGAAGAATGTAAGCTAGATAAAAAGCGAAATCTAACCTAAGACGCCTTAAACACTACGATAGATAGTCAGCAATAGACAGATATTCAGCGTTCAAGTAATCAGCAATACTCAAGGCAGACAGGGGCACACTAACTGGTGTACTAAGTGTACGGCACAAAATTTATGAAAGGCGATTAGGTACATAGTTGCCAGTTTGTTATATTTTTCATCATCGATCATATTATTTTCTAAACTAGTAAACTATTGTAATGTAGGTTCTGTTATAATATCGGTTGTCGACCGATGACAGTTTGGGTTTTGGATAGATAGCTGGATTATTTCGGATATTTCGCGGACTGGCAAATATTTCTTGCGGACTGGCGGTTGAGAAACACTGCTCTAGAGGCACTGGAAACAAGGTCTTTGATTATAAATGAATGAGTATTTCTCAGGATTAAAGAATAGGTAGTGCTTGCAATCTTCCTGCTGCCCAGAAACAGGAGTTTTGGATTTGAACAAATCACTGGAAGAATTTTTTTTTTATTTTCTGTGGGCGTGACTTGCAACATGTCGAAAATGTCTAAAAAAAATTATTTAAGTCTGAAAGAAAAGGATAAATTGCTAAAAGAAACTTCTGGAATGGTTTTTAAGCAGTGAGACTAAAGAATGTTCTAATTAACAAAACTCTTTCGAACCATAAAAACTGCAGATTTCATTAAATGCTAGGAGACTGCGGCGGATATGGCTATGCTAAGAGATTATGACTAAGCTATGATGGATAGCTCACAAGATAAAAGAGAGAAATAGCATTGTTTATTAGAAACTGGATGGTGAGAAGCAAGGGGCAGATAATCACTCGGCTGAGAGCTAAACAGTAGACTTTTACACGAGCTTCAAAAAGAATACAAGCCACGCAAAAGTTATAACATAGATGAAACTGGTCTGTTTTATAGACCATTACCGTAGCACACAATCATGTTTAAAAGTGAAAAAGCAGATGGATTTAAGAAATTTAAAGAACAAGCTACTATATTATTAACAAGCAGCAATTAAGAAGACACCATTGATTATTGAAAAAAGTAGAAAACCTTGATGTTTAAAAGGAATGAAGAATTTACCTTTACCTTAACATAATTTACTTAATTTCTTTTGAAATGGGAAAGAAAACTGAGAAGCGAAACAACAGCTTTACTATTAGTTTGTGCTGCAAACCTCTGTGATATCTTTCTAAAAAAATATTAAATTAGTGTTCTTTCCTGCAAATATGACTTCTATTATTCATCCTTTAGATCAAGGTACTATAAAAATTTTCAAACGTCATACAGAAAAGGTTGTCGTTCACAAAAAAGATTAGCAAAATTGAATCTTATAAAAAAGCACTTCGAAGAAGGTAACTAAGCCGATATCTTTGCTAGAGGCTATGCATATTATAGTCAATGCATGGGAATCAGTCTCCCAAAACCAAATTTAAAAATTGCAAGCGGCCAGCCTTGATAGAAAGACGATATCGAGTATACTCTTCTTTGTTTCTTTATAATTTTATACACCTTTTGCAAAAATACTTTTGTTTAAAGATTGCCCTTTATGGATGGGTATTATTACATACATGTGACAAAAACATGGAGAGACTGCTACATAATTAGAAAGATGACACTCGAATGAGAGACTTATAGACAGACGTTGGCGAATTGAGCATAATCTTTATTGCTGGACACGAACTAATTATCGAAACCATATTTTTCATTACACATGACCATGGTCGCAATACGCACACCACAGTTTTATATAAAGTATCGCATTTTAAATAACGGCCTAGCTAGTATTACGACAAAGCACAAGTGAAATGAAATGGCGTCCGAGAGGCAACAGAGCTACAAGATACTTTTCCAGTCAGGCATTCATTCTGTCGAGAGAAAGGTTTTGGTTTAAGGTGGAAAGGTTTCACTACTCAGAGTTTAGGTTCCGAAATACGAGTAACTACGCCATCAGTATTGCGCAGGCCATGCAAGATGGATTGATCTAGAAATAACGCAATCCAGAGAAGTTATTACGATATTTAAAATGGAGAGGGAGAATTAAAGGTTACTGTTAGTTAAAATTATAATTTTCATTCATTATAATTCATTGAAATTCATATATTTTCACACATATTCACGTATTTTATCTTACATATTCCACCCTCCTTCAGAGAGAAAAAGGCTTGGCGAGAAACAAGCCTTTTGGATACATATTTGTGTACGCAATTTCCAACCTAAAGTTACGTAGATAAAGAACACAACGTAGCATGTATTGCATATGTGTTCCTAAGCATGTATTGTATATATGTGTTCTTAATTCAATTTTATTAAACCATGACCATTATGAATAGAAACGTGAAACTCATGTATAACAAGCTTTGCTTGTAAGGTATATTTTATTTGAAGACATTTTTCATTAAATATCTCTTTTAACTCCTATGTGATATATCACGTCGCCATCTGTCACTTAACGAAGTTTCTGAGAAAATTCAAAGATATGAAAGATCATAGAATAGATCTCTAGGTTAGATGATAAATTTATGCGTTTTCATCAAACTGTTTTAGATGCATTCTGCTGTACGGAAGAAGCATAATTTGTTGGCCACCAGAACCAAAGTAAGAAAAAATACAATTTCCGCCTAAAAGCAGATGACCTTAGTGGGTATTTCAACAAGTCCTATATGATGAATGATTCTTTAGAGTAGTAATTATCTTAAAAGATGCACGTTAGAGCTGTTCCTTTCTGTCTGCATGATTTACTATTGGGCTCCAACAATTATAACCATGTATGTCATTTTTTTAACTTTTATTTTTTTTGTTTCGCATTTTTCCTGCTTATAATTTTAAAAAATAATTTATTAAAAAATGATAAAAAAAATCTGAAATGAAAATCTGCAATCTTTCATATTCTATATTACGGCCAAAGAGGCGTTTTATTTTTAACGTTTTGTGTGTTAACTTTATTATTAAATATCATATTCTTCACTTTGTAGAGACATTAGGTATTTTTTTTGGAAGCAGAGAGATGAAAAATATGCAACAGACTTCGCCGGGAATCGAACCACGGACCTCTGGAATACCGACCCAGCGTGCAGAACCACTACACCACGAAGGCACGCTAGAGAAATAGAAGAAATACTTTATATACACCCCTTTTTAAAGGGCGACTAGGGTTTTAGGGGACCTAGTCGCCAAATCCTGGGTGCGGAGAATCATCACCCACAACCCTTTTAGTTCGGGCGCCACTTGTAGAGACATTAGGTATTTTTTTGGAACCAGAGAGATGAAAAATATGCAACCGCCTTCGCCGGGAATCGAACCACGGACCTCTGGAATACTGGCCCAGCGTGCAGAACCACTACACCACGAAGGCACTCTAGGGAAGTGGGAGACACATACCTTATAACTTAAACCATAAAATTCAATTCAACAGCAGTATCACAAAATAATTTAAAAAGAGCATATCTTTAAAATTTCCGATACACAGTTTCCGATACATAGTCTTTCCATTGCTCGCTTTGAAATCGCTGAAATCAAAAATTCAATCAAAAATTATCTTAATCAAAAATCTTAATCAAAAATTCGTTAAAGTTTTACAAAGTATTAATTAGATAATAAAAAAAATTATAAATTCCAAATTTGGGCTTCCAAATGCCCATATTCGAGTGGAGGACCACGTTATTCAAAATTTGATGTCTCAAGGTACCGCTGTTTTTTCTTTTTACAATGCGAGAAACATACATATATTCATGCAGATTCTTCATTATTTATTTTCTTCAAATATAATGCAGGACTATGATATTTGATGCTAACAATTTGAAAAGTGAAACATCGTTTTATAGTGGACCAACGTAAAATGCCAAAACGGAATTAATAGCTCTTCTGGGCAAATTGCTTCTTTGGAGTAAAAATGCAACAGAAGCGTAATTTTTTTTTTTTTTTTTCTTCTCTTTAGGAGTTTAGATCAAAAAGTCAGAATAAATTGATTTATCGAACTTACCGATAACGGCTAGACACGGGAGCAAAGCTTTTGTTTTTTTAGTGTTCATTAAATGGGCGTGAAACGGTCTTCTACTCCGAGAATCCTGGGATTCAAGAACTACATGTTATTGGGAAGTATCCGCTAAACTTGCATATGCGTTAACGGAAGTTATACTTTAACTGGAGTAGTAATTAAGAAAACTTATTTTACTCTGCTAGAATAAATTTTAATACATGCTCTTTTTTTTGTCTGCATTCAGAACATATAGTTAGCATTATTTATTACAAAATGAGTAGCTATTTTATTAAAATGTTACATCAGAATTCTTCTGTATTCTTTTAATTCACTGTTTTTTTAATTTGTTATATTTTTCCCCCTTTTAGCTATCCAAGCAGATATCCTCTCCCGAGAGACCGTTGGAGATTGGGTGCGGTTTGGAATACACGTCAGACACGTCTTTAAAGCAGGACCCATAAAGTTACGAACAGGACCTCAGTCACTGTGGATATCACAGTCTGAAATAGCCTGCAGTTGCCCTAAACTAAGACTGAAACATTCTTATCTGATTTTAGGTAATTAATTCATTAAATCTGAATCTAAAACCAGCAAATATTTTGCCTCCGTTTTATTTTAGTATACATTTCATATGATTTTAGTTTAAATATTGAAGTTTTCCTATGCTTTTACTTTCTCCTATCTTGTAAAAACTTTAAGGATTGCCTTTAGCAATAAATTCATGTCTCTCTTCTCTCTTTCGGTATCTGCGGTTTACAGTCTGAACTCTTTCAATGTGTCTGTATTCGAAAGGCATGTCAAGTGATAATAAGCCACATCACAACGAAATGTGAAAGTTCTATCACCCCCAGTGCTGCCGTCTTGCAATAATCCTCGATCATGTTTACCTTCATGCTCTTTAGGATGAATAAAATAAAATAAGAAGTGGAAACTTATGCACATTCTCAATTTGCAGATTTCTCCTCATTCGCACGTTATTTAAATGTCACTTTTTTGACGGTTATAAATATACTGGAAGGGGATCACGGTTAATGGTGGTCAGACAGGATTTGTATTATTTTCCTTTGTTCCCGTATCCAAACGTTTTAGATTTTACTTCCCTCATTCTCCGTTTTCTCATCACTATCTTCGACCAAGTTATTTTTTCATTACTTTATGGGAAAAATGTTTTTTTTTTAAATTTTTATTTATTTATTTATTTATTTCTACTTGCCTTGAAACTGTGTGTTTATACTGTACAACACAGATATTGCATTTCTTCGTTTCTCATGCGATTTGCATATATTTGGTTTAAACGGTAGAATCGCTTACTTTCATAAGAAAGAGAAAACTGTAGAAAGAGAAAGAGAAACTGTAAACTAAAAACTAAGAAAGAGAAAAACTAAGAAAGACAAACTGTAGTGTACAGTAAATTTTGTATTACTTTGTTTAATAGTATAGTAATACTCCCCCTCCAACCATATCCGCAAGCAATATGTTCCAAGACTCACCGCGGACACGTGAAACGCGGATAATAATAAATGCTACATAAAAGAGATACAGCGAAACTTTGGATCACGAACGCCTCACTTTACGAACACATTACCTGAACACCCCCCCCCCAGAAAAAAAAAAAAAAAAAAAAAAAAAAAAAAAAAAAAAAAAAAAACACTTCGGACGACAAATATCTCGAGATACGGACACTCAAGTCGGTAATATGCAGAGCTAGATTAAGCCGTTCAACCGATATAGTGGTTAGTGACGCTGCCTGCTTAGGTTAGGTATAAGTGCAGATAATAATCCACCTATTATTTACCCTGAGTAAGTAGGTAAAGGCCCATTACACTAGCTATCCAGATTAACATCGTCTTCCTGGGGCCCCACGTTACCGTTTTGTAACCGTGGTGCTGCTATTGTTTGCTGCGACCGACATCGCAAGCTCTGCTACCGGTTCGGTGTCATCAGTTGTCCCATTTTATGTTCTGACTTGGGCAGGTGGGGGCATTTACTCTGCTGCCTAGATTATGCATTAAACATTGTATGCACGCAATGGTTATAACAGGAATACACTACATTGTTGCTTGAGTAATATGTTAGCCTGCTTGTGCTGGTGGGGTAGGGCATTTAACTGTAACGAAATGATTGCATCTTCATCACACCTGGCCATTTGTTTCTTAGACATACGTAAGCTTAGCCCCTTACATTACTTTTGAGTGCTCTATATCCTGCTATATGTTACTAGCGGCGCTTATAGCTTTTTTTTGGGGGGGGCAGCTAGAGAAAGCATCAGTGTTTATAAGTGTATAGTGTCTGTGCAACAAGGAGGCACCAAAATGCACGGCGAGCCAAAAGTCCTCGCGAGAAGTTAATGGTTGGGAAAGAGAGATGGGAGACCCTTGGACCCTCCGCTCGGGATGTCCTCCCTCAAAACTGGGACAGAACTAAACACTTAGTGCGGTAAGACTATACCTGTGCGACCAGTACTGAAATTCTGATGTTCCATCCTCTTCTACCTGCATCTGTACAATCCTGTATTAACCATTAAGTAAAATAAGCACTTGCTTTGGGTATCAAGGGAAGTGAGCACCACAAAAAATTTCCAGTGTTAATTTTACTACAGAATGTTGCAGCTAAATCAAGATCGAAAGTGAAGAAATGGGGGAAAACAGACGTAAATGTATGTGGGGGCATTAAAATCTTTCAAGTGCTTAGGTACTCTCCAGAAGTCTTAATTAGGCCATGGTAACATATGATTTTCAAATATGTTTTGAGGTAACCTATGCTACATAATGAATGATTGGGAATTTCTGGAAGCATCATTTTGAAATTCCTCATCGTTTAACTCTCATTAACAAAACGTGGCAGAAAGTGAGTTACAGGATGATGGGTGCTGCCTGGAGAAAATTATGCCCAGTCTGGGTAGCAGCAGAGACTTTGAACTCGTTGATACTTACAACTTTATTGCTATCTATGTTATTGTGTAGCAAAACCTTGCGCTAGGATGTTAACAGTGAATACGTGGAGAAGTTATGACTTGAAGAATCTCAACAAAAAAGAACTGCCATAACTTCAGCAATAAAAAGCAATTATGCAAAGAAAGTCTTCAAGAAGAGGAAGAAAGAAAAACGATCTTAGTTCTCTAATCTGTGAAATTAAGTTTTCATGTAACCATATCACATGGTTTAAAGCAGTAGCAAACTGTAGGAAAGCGTCATCATGACAATGCCATGTCTCACATTAGAAACATTTTAAACCGTAGATGATAACAAATCACACTGCAAGATTTGAAGAGAGGGTATAGCAAAAACTTGCGATAGGATTGAAACTATCGAATCTTTATTGCAATAAAAAGCTACGCAAAGATGTAGCATAGTAGAATGCGTCATCAGTTAACAATTCAACTGAAAAACCGTAGGAGTTACAGTGAATATGAAGTTGACAGAACTCAACAAAAAAAGAACTGCCATAACTTCAGCAATAAAAACAATATGCAAGAAGAAACGTCTTCAGAAGAAGAGGAAAAAGAAAGAAAAACGATCTTAGTTCTCTAATCTGTGAAATTAAGTTTTCATGTAACCATATCACATGGTTAAAGCAGTAGCAAACTGTAGGATAAGCGTCATCAGTGACAATGCCATGTCTCACATTAGAAACATTTTAAACCGTAGATGATAACAAATCACACTGAACAAGAGTTTGAAGCAGAGTTGTATAGCAAAACCTTGCGATAGGATGTTAACAGTGAATACGTGGAGAAGTTATGACTTGGAGAATCTCAACAAAAAAGAACTGCCATAACTTCAGCAATAAAAAGCAATTATGCAAGAAACGTCTTCAGAAGAAGAGGAAGAAAGAAAAACGATCTTAGTTCTCTAATCTGTGAAATTAAGTTTTCATGTAACCATATCACATGGTTAAAGCAGTAGCAAACTGTAGGATAAGCGTCATCAGTGACAATGCCATGTCTCACATTAGAAACATTTTAAACCGTAGATGATAACAAATCACACTGAACAAGAGTTTGAAGCAGAGTTGTTTGGCGCTTGGAGAAAAAGGAATGATAAAACAAGATACCTCTTAAAGAGGAGGTACTTGATGTTTTAAGAAAGAAAACCCTTCATCTAAATTATGATATCTTTCTTCGTGAATTTTTACTTACGCCGCGCTTTCTCCTTCCAAGCCTTCGTTCAGATACAGTAAAATTTCCTCTAGTTTTTCTGTTTATTATTATAGCTGATTTTTTTTTAAATATTTAATGCTTTCCGTTGGTTTTGGGTTACGAACTTGCGCACAAAGTACTATTGTAAAATTTAAATAAACAATCGTTTATGATCAAGGAACGAATTAAACCATTATACGTTAATTCCTAAGGGAAAAATTGTTTGGATTTACGAATCTTCCAGTTAACGACGGCCTTCAGGAACAATTTAAATTTGTGAAACGAGGTTTCACAATATTCATGTAGCATATGCAAATGTGATCCAATATATAATAGATAAATTATGCATTAAAAGGCATTAACAATGTTTAATTAAGTATACTACACATTGTACTACATTACGTACTGTATTACAAAAATAGTGCGAAATATGCTGCACACGTCTCTTTCTCCATCTCATATGCATAAAAGCAATGGATTTCAACATTTTAACCAATACTATAACTATTTTAACCAATACAACTATGAGAGCGAAATGAAGAAGTGTAGTTTTTGCACTGTAGGTTACAACGCACTACTACGAATAAAAATCATTAATTTTCTTAGCACTAATAGCATATTAGTAATTACCAAGCTTTATTTGCATCCTCGCAAGCTACGACAACAGAATGAGAATAGGAAGAATGCCAAAAACAAAGTGGAATCAAATCCTTAATAATTGCTTTAATCAGCTCTTGAGAACTCTCAGCTCTTGCATCTAGAAGGATGCCTTCATGGGGAAGATTCTTAAAGGTAACTTGTCCGAGAGAACACATACAGTCAACCCAAGCATTACAAGCCAAGTCTAACTATCGCTTTCCAGTGATCTTCTCCATTTACCTATTGATGGTCCCGGAAACAAATTTAATTGTCCGCAATGAGCATATAGGTGTGTGCTTACTTGGAAGAACAGTACTAGGAGTGTCTGAACGCTGTATTTCATTCCGTTACACACCGCTGTTCACTTGGAAAACATGCTGAAGGCTTTACCCCTTTTCTGTTTATTGTTATTTTATAAGGTATTTCTCCCGCCTTCTTGGCATGTCTTCGTGGTGTGGTGGTCTGCACGATTTCAGAGGTCCGTGGTTCGATGCCCGGCAAAGGTGTTGCTTATTTTTCATCTTTCCTGCTTCCAAAAAATACCTAATGTCTCTACAATTTGTCTGTTTGTTTTGTTTTGCTTTCTGTTTATTTTTATTCTACAAGCCACGATACGGTGGCTCAGGTGTACAGTATTGTCAGCACAGTATTTTAAATAAGGTAAATATTCATGTTTAGGCTGCAAAAGTTTATATGAACTTTGAAAAATGAAACACAAAAGATTTGGTCCCCATGCGACAAACATTTATTGCTGTGAGTAAAAACTTTATTTAATGATTT